GGAGCTTCTTCTTCATCTTCTCTAGGATCTCTCATCACATGCGATGGTCAACCATGCAAGTGGCATGGTCGAAACAGCATGGAACAGCATGATGAGTGCTGCGGGACAACACCACTACGCTTCTGTAGGAGATATCTCCAACATGCTTTCGCCGGGAAGAGGTTGGACTTGTCGATGCAGCTACGCCCCCTCCTTCAGAGCCAGAAGAAACATCTGGGGTGCGAACATCAAGTTCGGCGTACCAATATCAAACTATTGGCATCACCGTCTACAGCCTAACATCCCCCAACTCACATGTTTGAAATCAAACAAATGCTGGAGAAAGAGAGGTTCAGCTACACCATCTCAGCCGCAAGGACAGGGATCGGGTTCGCGGTCGGAGAAGGTTGAGGGGGATATCAACATCGAAACTTGCCGAGGGTCTCCCGACCGACGAGATGAGGGGTTCGGAAGGGAGCTGCCTCGGGATGTCTTTCGTCGACTTTCGCTGTTGTCGGTCGTCTTCGGTGAATCATGCCTCCTTTGACTTTCAGGCTTCATGTGATGAAGCTTGAGCTGACGACGCTCGAACGCGGGCAGGAAACTTGGTTCTGAACTCACGTTGATTCTCGCGGCGACCACGCGTTCTAGTCCGTGAGACCCCGGATGCCGCCGGTGTGAATCGGTGCTCGGCGCCGGGTGGAACCCGTACCGGTTGAGGTTGCACTGCAGATTGGGGCCGGACTCGTCCTCCGATGACCCGATTTCCACTCGGCTTGCCTCCGTGACCAGTCCGGAAATCAGGTATTCTCTGGAGATCGGCAGAGACCACAACGGTATCTTTTGACTTATACGGATTTGTACCTATGAATCTCAAAACCTACGTGGCAACATAATGAGTGTCGTCAAGTCATCCACCTTGTCCTGAACGCGCGGGGACCTTACTAGCCATTTGAACCGTGAATTGTTGCCTCCTCCAGGTGTTCTCTTGTCTGCTAACATTGACTGGCCTTCATATCTGTATTCGCCGAGATATTTGGCAAGCCTGGGCTAGGGCCTTGGACAGCTTGCTACAGTTTAGAGAGATCACCAAGTTGGTCTGCTTCGTTCCTGGTAGCAAGCTAGGTGACGTGCTTCCATACATGTACTACGAATCCGACAATTTGCGACGGCCTGGACATCTCGAATCTCACATGCGGTCTTCCATCGCACATGCGGACATCTTCGGCTGCTTCCCAAGGCCATGCCCTGTCCACGCACCAAGGGAAAGTCTGCCAACGTCTCCATCGCCTACTTAGTGTTATCGGCGGACTCCCGGGATAACCGTGGGGACCTATCGAGGGTTAGATCTTGAAGAGAACAGTGATTCGCCCGGGGACCCGTCTCATCGAAAGCCTCTCGCCTTGGACTCATGTGGTCTGATCTAGCTCGGTTCTCGACATGTTGTCGTTCATTCAGAGAACCAAACCACAACTATGACGACTCCGTCTCAAAATTTCTTCAATGTGGATACTGAGGCTCGCCATTGTTGTTGCAGCTCTCCGACGGCCTGGAAATGGTGGCACGTCCTGTCATCGTCTGAACATCATTCAATATGCCAATTCACGATTCCCAGGCGTTTTGCAGTACCCCAGTTGCAAACCGATGAACCGACGTTCTGATTCTCGTCATGGTTATCTTGCCAGGACTCCACAGGTCTTCCTTGGCTGTGTTGGTTTCCCATGAGCCAGGTACGAGCGACGACCGTTGTTCGTTTTCTTCTTCCAAAAGTCGTTGGAAGAAACCTCTTGCCCATACCTCGACTCTTGAGAAGCAATCGCGAAGTATCCACAAGTACGAATACTCAGCTCCATGAAGCGTTGTCCGTGGAGAACTGTTCTCTCGAGGATAGAAGAGGCCAGTGATACATAACCTGCAAAGGGCGTTGCAGACACCGGCATGCTTTGGTCACATTCTCCTCGTCATGTTCCTTCCTTCTGGAAGCTTCGTGTATTCGAGGGAGAATACGACCTCTCCCCGAAAGTTTGAATGTTTCGGTGTAGCCCTCTTCAGAGCTGAGAGGCATTCTGGACCCGAGATGGGTTTTGGGTCCTGTCAGTCTCGACCATCGCATGGCCCATAGTCACAGCAAGCGACCTGTCCTTCCATGCAGGGTTTGAAGTAGATGCTCACAGTATCTGTCCAGCATCCGCGGCTCATCCGGCTGACGAGATAGTACGCGTAATACCTCACCGCGACGGTATGAGACTCTGAGACAGAACCCTGCACCGTGGGAGGGAACAGAGAGGCTGCTTTCCCATTGAATCTTTGAGGCGCCTTCGCTCGCAAATTCAATTTCGACTGAGGCGTGTCTCAGGCTCCGAGGAGAACAGCCAGATCTGATGCGCAGCCAGCCTTGTGAGAGCACCTTGACAGACAACCATCACACGTTCGCTCTCGAGTGTGATGTTGGGCGGCATGGTTCACGTGCAAATAATCGTGGTTTTCTTCCGACGACTTCGAGAGTACACCTGCCCGCGAGCAGCATCAGGACGATGTTTCAATGAACCTACAAAACCAGTGAAAACAAAGTGACTCGTCATGCGAAGCAAAGTGCAAGTACCAATTCGTCGAGCCGCCATTATTCGCGCTCTCCATCAAAATACGGCACATCAGTCGATGAGTATAGGACACTGAAACTCAACAAGGCACCATCGCCTCCAGTCCCTATACTGGGCACCCCCTTAGTAAACATCATCTAAGCTCATACAGGTATCCAGAACGTCGGCTTGTGGACGGATGAGTTGAAGTGACGTTTGGTATGAATACCGGCAGAACTGAATGAGATGCGCCTGATGGAGGTTGAACTCGTCTGAAGAAGCTCATAAGCCTAACGGAATGCCATGGTTTGGCACAGAACGGTGACGTATGCGACCTGCACGAGTAGAAGGCTATGTTCACATGTTCCCAAAGCTGAGAGACGAAAAGGCACACGCCACACAGAATCATATGACCAGGCCCGAGTTTGTGAGCGGCGGTAGCCTTAGGACCTAAGAACTGGATTGGGAATGTCTTGATTCTCATGAATTATTATTAGATTTCATTTATATCTATGTTTTTGACATTTTGAAGTCGTGATGACGACCTGCTGTGTCTTCTCTTACATGCTTTCAAGCAAATCTGCAAGAAGTGGCACTGTGTGAGGATATATATTTGCCTCTGTAGTCTGCCCTGTATAGGGACTTGATGTGCGCTTGGTCGGTTGAAAACCGTCCCTCACTCGAGCTCTGTGTCGGCGGGTGATGGTTTGAGGCCGGTTGCGTGACACCGACGATGTGTCGGACGCGTCGAGCAGAAGGCGCCGCTGGGTCTGGTTCAATGACTCGTTCCATTACTGCGACCTCGAGCGTTCAGACATCGCAGCTGGCGGCTGTGATAAAGTTCTGTCGGCGTCTGCCAAAGCCTTGCAGCTAATGGTTGACCATGTGACGCATCTGTATTCCTGCGCATGGGATTCAAGTGTCCCCCGAGGCAGTGTAAGCAGTCAAGCCACATGGCTGACTGAGTGGCTCATGCGGCTGAATGGCCGCAGTGGTTGAGACAAGACAGTGCGGGTCTTTGTCTGGGTATCATGGGTGTTGTTCAGCTGAGCCCCTCCGCCTAGAGGCCACATTTCGTACTTGGTGATGAAGATTCTCGCTTTTGCGATGTGTAAGGTGTTCACAGACCTCATCTGTTTGTGTCGCCATGTGCTCCCCTCGTAGGCCGTATGGGGTTCATCTCATACGACTGCGGCTCTGCACTCCGCCCTGTAGGTTTTGCCAATTTCATCATGTCGTGAAAGCTGCCGAGCACCTTATCCTCGCGCTCCCGCGTAAATGCATCTTGCCCAGGATGATATGCTCCTAGGACCTTGGCTTCGTGTTCGTTCTCAAATGTGTCAGGGCCGTGCTGGTATGCCCCCAGCTCTGCCGTCGGCGCTCCCAACATCTTGGCCTCATTCCGCGAGAAAGTGTCGGGACCATGCTGATAAGCACTCAGCTCAACCTTTGGGGCTTCTGGAGCCTTTGCTGGCTGTTCATTCAGAGATAGATCCGGACCGTGGTGGAAGGTACCCAGCTCGTGTTGTCGCCGCACGATCTCTCGCTCCGCAGCCTCTAGTTCGTGTGGCTGAGGCATCGGCTCGAAATCCGCCAGATTAACTGTGGAACTGGTTTGGTTTTGGCTGGCGCCATACACGTTTCGCTGTGCCGATGTGTTGGCTGCTCCAGGGGCGAATTCGGCAGCGGCCGTCGGATGATCGAACTGATGACGAGCCGCAGGAGCGGTTGTGGTTGTTGGCCCTATTGATTGTCCGTAGAGCGAGGCGGATCCGCCCGTCGGAGCATTTCGCTGTCCATAGATCGAAGCGCCTGGTGTCTGACTGGTCGTCGGCGGAAGTCGTTGCCCATAAAGTGATGCGATCGGCCCGTCTCCGCCGGCAAAGTCTGATTGCTGCCCGCCATATGATCCCCCCGTGACTGGCGACGGCCCGCTCACATACGTTATATTCTGCTGTTCGGTGATAGTCATCGGCTGCCCGCCGGCGTAGACGGCAGCTTGCTGTCCCCCGATCGCCTGTTGTTGGTGATCCATATAATATCCACCCTGTTGACCGCCGGTCGCTTGCTGTCCCGGGGCGTAGTATCCGGATTGCTGCGGTTGCCCGTTGACGAAGGATGATGCTGGCGGCACGGAGACGGATGATGCTGGCTGCCATGCATTCAAGCTCGATACTCCTACGGTCGGGGAAACGCCATGTAATGAAGAAGGCGCGCTCTCGCCGGATTGTGAAATGCCTATTGAAGAACCTCGGTCGGGGTGCTCGCCGTTTTTCGCTTCGACTTCGCTGTATTTCGTTTTCGGTCGCTGGGATCGTCGCCACCAGAAGAATGCCACCGCCCCTATCAATCCCACGACGCTGAGCGCAACAGCGACGCCGATGCCCGCTCCGGCAGCGGTTGAAATCCCCTTGGACGGCGTACTGGTCGCGGTGGGCGTGCTCATCGCGTCGGCAGGGGACACAGTCCCTGTTGTCGAAGATGTTTGTGTCGATCCTGTGGAGGTGGAAGTTGTGGTTGTTCGGGTGGTGGTAGTTGCAGAGGATGAAAGCGCAGCTGAGTTAGTGCTGACAGCAACGTTCTGCACCACCTGGTTAGCGGCTCCCGTTTCGATTGGTGCTCGGTTCCCGAGTCAAACTCACGCCGGAATAAATGGTAGAGTAGGCGCCGTCATTGACGGCGCTAACGCTTGACAAAACCCAATGTTGAGCAAGTTGATTTTCTGCGACACCCTCAGACCCGTCGATCTCGTTGGACATGAACAGGTTGTCTTTCGGGTGCACGTCCAGCACGTAGCTGGTCCCGTTCTTCACGTTGACAAACTTGAAGGTTCCCGACCCAAAGTCAGACACATCCCACAACTGAGCTTCGTCCGTCGAAGACTCCTTCATACAAGCAATGGTGTTCCCCGTGGCTGGTTCGCCCGAGTCGTAGCATGCGCTCAGCTGCGCCTTCACACCGGTCTGGTCGAGGCGCATGAGGTAGCGGCCTTTGACATCGCCATAAGGCTGGAACTGCCAGGCCGCTGTTCCACCTGTTATCGGATGGACTCTGAGACCATTGACCTCGGTGCGCAGCTGCAGGTTGAGGGCGAAGGGGCCGGTGCTGTTGTCGACGCGTGTTTCGGAGATGCGATACCACGCATTCGGGTCCAATGTCGCCATTTTCACCGTGCTCGGGCGCACGACTCACTCCTGTGTGGTGTGTTTGGGAATGAAGCTGTCCCAAGCAGCATGCCGCAAGCCGAGCCAGAGAGGAGGAAAGGAGCACGAGCAAGCACTCAAGGCGAGGAGACGACAGCCGGGTACCGTTGCAAGGTGGATGGGGAATGTTTTTGTCCGATCGACAGCCCACGAGTCCACGACGCATTGTTGCCCAGGGCCCGAGAAATGACATTTCCAGGATGCAGACAATGGCGGGCTGGCTGCAGCGGGCGAGCGGGCTGAGGTGCGGCGTGCCAACTTGCTGGCTGGCTGGGCTGCAGCAGCACCTCACCTCCTCCTCAGCCAGCTCACAGTTCCCGCACGCTGCCCACCTTCAGTGACCAGTGACCACCAGCTTCAGTCTTCAGTCACCACTTACCAAGGCGCCCTCGCTGCGTGGATAAGGACGAATTTGCCTGAAAGGATCGCCAAGACCAATCTAGGTACGGGGCGATGCAACCCTGGGGCCGTCATACAGCGCGTCTTCAGGGGCTAAGCTGAATGCAAATATCCAAAAAAGCGACAAACCTGCCGGGATCAGTGCCCCAACCCAGGGGCTTGGGGTCCGCAGTCTGCTGCTCTTTCGTGCCTTTCTCGACGCCCATTCGACAGATGCTGGGCCTCACTTTCACCAGCCCCCATCACGGCTCTCTGTCTCCCGCTCGACCCCAGACACCTTTGCGATTCCAGAGCGCCCGTAGCCTCGATCAGAGGACGCAGTGGTCGTCTATTGGTCCATTCGCCTTTTCGTGGCCCTATCGATTTAATCGCAGCGGCCGCTGAATTTTATGTCCGCATTACTTGGAAGCTGCATACGATGCAGCGCTTCGCTCGGCCAATGATGATGTCGTCTGCATATCGTTATTTCCGTCGATGAGCGCGAGACGATATGCTCAAGCAAGCGCTAGACTGCGCTGTGCATGTCTATATTTTCGTTTTGCTGCTTCTTTCTGAGTCTGCTCAGCCTGCGGGCGGGTGATATGCAGACGCAGACGCAGGGCTGATATTCTAAGCTTCAGAGGAAGCTTCAGCTGAGGGGCCGGCGAACAAGGTGGAGAGTGGCGAGAAACAGAAAGAGGCGAAAAGGATCGACGGAATCCTTCTTTGCGTGATCGTGACCCAACAGTCCGGTCGCGAGTCCCGGAGGCGAGGTTGAAAGGAGACAGCCAAGGCGGACTGCGTGGGTTTTGTTCTCAACCCAGGCACTGGAAAAGGACTTTGGTTCCCGTCCCGTACTTAGCCGCCGTTAAATCTCCTAAACGGCTGCCTAGTCGAGAACCCCACGAAAATGTTCTGCATGCAAAGGCAGTGCTACCCAGCATCTTGTTGGGAGTGGCCCGCGTCCCTGGCGGTTTCCAAGGGCACTGTCATGTCACTTGCTGATCAGTCGCTCTCGTTGGTTCCTGCTTCGGCTCGCAACTGACTCTGAATCGTCATTTTTCGAGATTAGCTTTCCTTCAGACCAGGGGTATGGAGGGGTTGCATTCAGGATACCGGACTTGCGTATGATGCGTATGATGTGATCGTTCCAGGAACAACAGTACGTTGCCGGCGGCACGATTTCTTCCTCATAAGTCGAGGAGTCCATCCTCCCTAGGCAATCAGGCGCTCTGGATGTCAACATAGCTATCACTGGTATTTGAGGTGATCGCAACTGTACCCATTTTCTGATGGAGTCGACAAAACGGTCAAGCTGCCATTATGGTTAGCCTCATATGCCAATGTAAGCTTCAGGAAAGGCCCAGGGCTCGATATCCCTGAACCCCTGTGCATCGCGATCCTACGAACCGTCCATCTGGTAAGCTGTGCCGCGAAAGTAGCGCATCATCAATTGACGAGTCGCGGAATGGAATGACAGTTTGAAGTCGTGATGCAGGTTGGACTGCGCGTCGTGAGAATAAGAAGTCGTCGATGCTTCTTTGCCTGGCAGGGCAAGCCTAGTGGAAGACACCGCCCGTGCACAAAAGCGTCTTTGGGCAAGAAAGTAGTGAGTTCGTACTGTGCTCCCGTCACCATTCCACTTTCCGTATCTGGCTGGAAGCAGGCACGGCCCGGACCCGGGGCTGCCCCGGGAGACTTCCAAGGGTCAGCAGCGTTTGTAAGTGTGCCTCGAATCAACATATTTATTTCCAAATTCATCACCTTGTTATTTTCTATGCTATGGTAATTCTAATTCTAATGTGGATGGCGCTGAAGGTCTACAGACTAGCGATACATGCTCAGCGAAAGGTTGCTCCCGGGTTTCACTTTCGAACGAAAGGCTCGTCTTCCCACTCCGTAGTCGGAGGGGTCTGAGAGAGCCTCCAAGAGCCACACTTGCCATTGCTGGCAACGAAAGCGCCATCAAAGTTGGCCCTGCGACCGTAGCGAAGATCGCCAGGGTTGCCGCAGGTGTCGGTGGAAGGCCTGAAGGTAAAGCATGCGCCGCGGTAGTACAAGCTACCCGTGCAGCCGTTCTCCAGCTGGCACGAGACGCAGCAGGCGTAGGCCGAGTCGGCGTGGCGTCTCTCACGGGTGATGCTGTAATCGTTGGCCGCTTGAACGATGGGGCGTCTGCCAGGAACGTGCGAGACCAGGTTATCGGACTGGCAAGCTGCGTAAAGCGTCGCAGTCGGCATCGATGCAACAGTGACGGTCGACGTAGTGTACGTGGTGGTGGTTGTGGTGACCTGCGCAGGGACGGATGGGACACTCTGGCTAGGCGTCGGTGCGGTGACGAACGTCGTGAAGACGCCAGTGATGGTGTTGTCCACCGTGGTGGTGGTGAATATGCGAATGACGCGCTCGCAGTGGACAACCTGAGGGAATAGGGGCGGGTCTGCGACAAGGGCAGCATTGTTGGCGTTAAGGCCAAGTACCAGAGGCTGCCTTACAGAACGCTCCTCGATGTGAGAAGAATCACCACCAACATTCTGAGCACTGTCACGGACGAGAGCAGAGGCGAGAGGTGTGAATCCTGCTGGTGCTGGCACAGTGGCGAAGGTGCCTGCAGTGATGCTGGTGATAGTTGTGAGAGTCAGGGTGCTCGTGATGGTAGCGGGACCTGTTTGGCCAGTAGGGGGGACGCCGGTGGGAGTGATAGTCACTGTCACCTTGGATGGGGTGACGTAGTTGTAGTAGGTGACGGGCGTGGTGATGGAATAGATTCTGGAGAATGTCTCTACATTGGCGACTGACCTCGGGCCGAAGTCGGTGTAGCATCCATATTCGCCCTGGACAGTTGAAACGGAGCCAGCCGGGGTTGTGGTTGTGATGCCAGACGAAGCAGTGAGAACAGATGAAGAAGTAGGACCAGAAGAGGTCGTGAGACCGGAAGTCGTAGGACCAGAGGAGGTCGTAGGAATAGAAGATGTAAGGACAGACGATGTTGTGAGGACAGATGGTGTTGTGGGACCGGAAGAGGTCGTAGGAATAGAAGATGTAAGGACGGATGATGTCGCAGGGGTACTTGTCGTAAGAACAGATGATGTCGCAGGGACAGATGATGTCGTTGGAACAGATGAAGTTGTGGGAACAGATGAAGTTGTGGGGGCGGATGAGGTTGTGGGATTAGATGAGGTTGTAGGAACAGATGAAGAAGTAGGATCACTTGAAGTAGTAGGAACAGATGATGTCGTGGGGACTGGCGAGGTCGTAGGGACTGATGATGTTGAAGGAGCAGATGATGTCGTAGCAGCAGATGATGTAGGGGCAGAGGACGACGTAGGGGCAGAGGACGACGTAGGGGTAGAGGACGTTGTAGCAGCAGAGGACGTCGTAGCAGCAGACGATGTCGTGGCAGTAGACGAGGTCGTAGGGGCAGCAGACGATGACGTGGCAGCAGACGACGTAGGAGCCGCGGACGAAGTCGTGGCGGGATCAGACGAGGTGGTCAGAACCGAGGACGTCGTGGGAGCAGACGATGTTGTGATACCAACGGTTGTCGTAGAAATTATAGAAGAGGTTGTGAGGGCAGAAGAACTGGTAAGAACAGAGGAGGTCGTAGGAGCGGAAGAGGTTGCGGGAATAGAGGAAGAGATTGTGGGTACAGAGGAATCCGAAGAGCTAGAGGAGCTCGTCAGAAGAGACGAAGAAGACGTGAGGCTAGAAGTAGTTGCCGGGCTGGAGGAAGTAGTAAGGACAGAGGAAGAAGTCGTAAGGCTTGACGAAGTTGAGGGGTTAGATGAGCTCGTCAGAAGAGATGAAGAAGTCGTGGGGCTGGAAGAGGTTACAGGGTCGGAGGAAGTCGTCAAGCCAGAGGGAGTCGTAAGGATAGAGGACGAAGTCGTGAGATCAGAAGAGGTGGAGCTGACGGAAGAGCTCGTGAAGGTAGAGGAGCTCGAGGAGCTTGTGGAGATATCAGTGGCTCCTGGGATGGTGATGGTTGTTGAAACAAAGCTTCCTTGGACGAGCAGGACGGCAACCGCCAGTCCCGACCTCTTGCTGAACACCATGTTGACTTTGTGGATGAGAGAAAAAACGAGTGCAGAGATGAGTCGAGCGTGCTCCTAAAAGTCACCCGGCATCTGGAAAGAATGAGATCAATCCTTATAAGACATTGGTGATGCCTCTCAAGAACCCTGATGACAGGGAAAAAGGTTCAGGTGGCTCGTCTAGAGTGCATGATTGTTGAGGCGCCAAACACGGCATGCAGATCCAGGAGCATGAAATGGATTGTTTGCAGCCGCCTTCGGTAGTTGAGATCAGTAATTGAGTTTGCAGAGACAGCAGCCATGTTCTTCCGTGGACGGCGCCAGGACAGATGGAGTATCTAGAGCATCCAACAACTTCGCTTTCGTCAAAATAACCAACAGATCCAAAGCCTGCGAGGGCCTGAAAGTTTTGAATCACAAGGTGAGCCAAGCACATGTCTGATTCACAGTGGCTGAGGCCGACGGCGAAGATTTCAGGGGCCATGACGTTTGGATGGGAATATCTTTCGATGACACAGATTTCCATGATCTCAAAATGTGGTCTTCACA